TATATAAAAGCCTGAGTGGTCTGTTGACTGACCTTTGTTTTTGTTCAAATAACTGTTGTAGGCAGGTTACAATATAAACATATTTGTCATAATCATGTCTTTTGGTTATTTGACAGGAGTTTTTCTTTTAAACTGTAAGTATATTTTAGTAATCTTAATTATGATAGTTTAGTTATGATGTAAATACAATAAAAATAAAACCAAGATTTAGATTAGAAAAATTATCATTTCATCCATACACTGGTAATGTCTGACTGGGCCTCGTGTCACTTTATGTTCAACAAATTGGGCCCCTAAGTCAAAAAGGTTAAGAACCCTGATTTAGATCATTTGTAAATAAAAAAGTTGATAAACAAACAAAATAAACTTACTTTAGTGATCCTGTGGTTTCTTATTTTTCTAAACTAACTACAAAGTAACTGTTCTGTGTCATCTTTAATATTCCCTCGGTGATAAATCCGTTGATTAATCCTGCAGTTGCTCACTGACGTCTGCCTTGAATCAAACAAAACAAACTGAACTAACTCATTTAAACGATCATGTGGTTCAATAGTTTTAAAACTAAATACAAAGCTGTTGTTTAGTGTCGTCTTTAATGTTCCCTCTGTAACAAATCTGTTGATGAATCCTGGGTCAACACAGTGGAATTTTGGTCCATTCTTTGTGGTAAAACTGCTCCTGCTCTTTAAATTTGGAAGAATTCACAAAACTAGCTGCGTTGAATGTGACACACAGAGACAGACAACTAGTTCATCCTTCTGTTCTTTTGTCTTGACAGGAGGCACTGCATCCAGACAGAAAGGCTTTTTGGGCTGCATCCGCTCCTTGCAGCTGAACGGCGTCACTCTGGACCTGGAGGAGAGGGCAAAGATAACGCCTGGAGTCCGACCTGGATGCCCGGGTCACTGTAGCAGCTATGGCCAGCTCTGCCAAAACCAGGGGATCTGTGTGGAACAAGCCAATGGATTCTCCTGCGACTGCAGTCAGTCTGCTTTTACTGGGGCCTTCTGTCATAAAGGTACAGACTTTGATAGTTTCTGCCAGTACAAACAGGTTTCACCAACAATCTGAGCATTAACAAACAATAATTATCAACCTATCAGCAACTTTTTAAAACCAACTCAACACATTTCACTAGAGGTTAAAAAGTTTAATAGAAGATGGGATTTTTTTCACATCTGTACATGGATTCCTGAACAAAAACTCCCAAATCTAACAGCCTGCAGACAGACTGACAGGTTATTAATTGACAGATGAAGCTGCAGCTGTAGAAGCCTCGGGGAAACACGGCCTATTATCAGCTTGAAATTGAAAGCAAATCTTTTATGAAAGTCCACATTGGCTTCTTAAGTATTTCTTTTTTGGTCCCCACAGATGATTTGAAAATTAAACTCTCTTGTATGTAAGAGATTATTGACTAATTCAGCATGAAATTCAATAATGCTTTGTGTCTAAGGGAGGCAGAAGAAAGGAAGAACGTCTGATCCTCCTGTTAAACATCATTAGTGGGAGGAAAGACAGAAAAAGTGGAATAGTTATAACAGTTTTAATTAAACGTCCTGTATAATATAAAACCAGTAATATTTAACAGGTTGAAACAGCTATGAACTCAATTTCAAGTTTATATCTCAACTATCTTTCACTTTTTTCATCTTATATTATTACTTTAGCTTGTTTTGAGTCTCAAAAGTGACTTTTTTTCCTCCTGCATTACCTTTTTATGAGTTTTTATTTGAACAGTAGCCGACGTAACTGCATTTTATTGCATTTTATTTTGACAGCCGCATCTGTGCATTCCAGTCAGAGGCTCTGCAAATGATGTGTTTGCCAGTTTCATATGACAATGATGAGCAGTAACAACTTCTTAGAAGAATATCGTGTAAATCACAATCACTATATTAAAGATTCACTTCAACTTTATGTGATGTTGTGATTTTTTTAATATATTTTGTCCCCCAATACAACTGTTTTTGAATCCAATATGATAACTCAAAGAAAATAATATATCAGGATGTGGTCACTGGCCTTTTGAGGGTAACAAAACCTTTGGAACTGCAGAACTGCTCTGCTGCAGTTCACAGTGTGGCTGTGTCTCAATTCATGGGTCGCGCCTGATATCGGCCGCATTTGTCGGCCTCCTACGTCACTGCCCCGTAGGCTGTCCCAATTCATGGGCCCCTACTCATGTGTCCAACAAAAGCCCAAAAACATAGGCTGCATCTGAGTATCTTACGTGGCCGACAGTGTCCAAGAATTCGTTACGCCGTCAGCAAATGAATCAGAAAACCAAAGATGGTGGACATTTTTTCTTATTTTACGTTGTTAACAGAGGTTTTTATTTTTTAATTTTTTTACTGAGTTTTTTTACTGAGTTTTTTTTTTTATGGCCGAGTTTGGAAATTTATCACCAGTAGTGGGCAGCACTCATGTAAAGTGAGAGTATAACATTATAACATGATATAAAACTCAAAAAAGTTGATTTTACATGATATTGCCCCTTTAAAACTAATGTTGATCAACAACATTTATAGACCTCGATTAGTGCTTCTAGATTTTGCCTATAAATTTAGCAAGTGCTAATCCTCGAATAAATTTTAAAATTAGCAAAAGCCCTAAAGCACTAATCAGGAAATTAGTTCCCCTATTAGTGCTTTAGGGGAACCGTGCCCACCACTGTTTATCACAGACTGAAAGATGTAAGTTGAGCAATTTAGCTGAATAAAGATTTGTTGCAATGAGATGCTAAATAAAATGCAAGCTAATCTCAAATTATTAATGCTTTTTTACCATTTATTTGTAACTGTTTCCTATCAAAACTGAATTTTACGAAGTTACACCTTGAAAAAAACTGAAGTGATGTGACATAAAACGTATCAATATGGTAATAAGGTGTGCACGTCATGGTCACGGTCACGGTCATCAAACAACCATTTATGCAGCCGACACAAGCGGCCCACGGCCCACTTAGACCGCGGTCTACATCAGTCTTGCAATTTGAGTTTATAATCTCAACCTATAAAAAATGGCAGCAACAACAATGAAATCATCAAAATGAAGGCAGTAAAATGTTTTATTAAAACAAAAAAATGAGCAGCTTAAACAGCAAAACCAAGAAATACGCTAGATAATTAAACCCATTTATACTTGTGTTTGTTAAATTGTACTGATAAAGCAAGAGAAAAAGTGTGAAAAACCTCACAACCAGCTGCAGTTATTCTGAATACAAACCTCCAAGACTTATATATAAATATGTCATGCAGACAGTTCAAATTTGGTATTCATGTGATGTATGCTCGTGCACCGAGATGAACAAATGCAAATGCAAACTTACGTGAACCTCAATCAGCACAGTTGGTGACCACATTTTTTTTCTTGCAGGATTCCAAACAGCTCCTCTGACTTTTTCTCTTCCTTTAGAAGTTTCAGCCAGCTTTGAGTCGACAACATCCATCACCTATATCGTCAAGGACCCATATGAGCTAAGCGGGAACGGCAGCACCGTGCCCTCATCCATCTACTCGGATATCACACTGAGAGGAGAAAACATCTCCTTGAGCTTCAGGACTAGTCAGAGTCCTGCTCTGCTGCTCTACGTCGGCTCCTTCCTCAGAGAATACCTGATCCTGCTCGTCAATAAACATGGTAAAGTCTTTTCTTTCACACGGTCTTATTTTTCTTCACACAAACAAAGATCTGTCACTATCAGACCTTTCACGGTTCTTTGATTATCCCATCTGATTTACTAAAAGCAAGGTTTGTTTTTGTGTGCGCTTTTCTATTTTTATGCATTTTCAGTGTTCTGAAATATTGTTTTATGTTGATAACGAAATTTCGTTATCATGCAAAATCCACTTTTTTAATCATTAAATACATTTTGTTGTGTACTTGCAGTATTTAGGAGTGCAGAAAATTAGAATTAAAGGGCCAATGTTATGTGTTTCTCAGGCATGTATTTAAATACTATACCATAATAAAGTATCTATGTCACCTT